CGCGTGGAGTTGATTGTCACAATGGACCATCTCAAGGAGGACAGCAAATCATCAAAATTCTCCTGTAAGATACAAAGACAATTCTCGGGACAAGTTAGCCACTTTTATAAAGTTCTCATATGGTACACTGGTCACACAAAAGGCTGGAGTTTTCCATACATAGCCCAATTGGGCAAGCTGCCATAAGCTATCCACCTGTTCTTTATTTTACCTCTAATAGATGTATCTATGGTAGCCTGTTGATCCAGGGCTGTAGCCACTGTGGTAGATAACTGATTGAGGGTCTTTGTTTTTTATGATATAGGCCGTGCTGTCCCAGTGGCACCTAGGAAAAACCCAGGCCCTGTTTGTTGATATTAGGTTTAAGATTTATTGGCTCCTGTATTCCTTGCCAGTACGGTGGCCTCGGGTTCCAGAGCCCGCCCGCCATCCAAGTGCTGTGTGCGACCCTGGACCTGCTCGCTGCGCGGCTCCCCGTGTCCCGCTGTGCGGCTCCGCCTGTCCCAGGCCAGGAAGTGGCGGCTCCACCCCCAGGCGCCCCTGCCTTTCCCGCGGGGCTAGCCTAGTTCTCTGAGGCTGTGTTGGTGGCGGAGTGTGGCGGGAGCCGACACTCAGACCGAGGCGGCACAGGCCACAACATCTCAAGGTCCGCGCCAGAGCCGCTGCGGCTCAAGGGGCCAATGGGAGAGGCGGCGAACAGGGCCGCTTCCCTACTAGCAAACTCTCAACACCTGTGCCATAGCAAAAGCAGCTGTAAACAAACTCTCACAGACCCAGCCAACGACCCAATCACTTTAAAAATCTAAGGGCTTTTTGCATCTACCTCCCTGTGGATCCTGAAACATTAGATTTAAAACCAAATAGTTGTAAGCTGCCATGTGGTCATTGGGGAACCGAACTCATGACCCTTGGAAGAGCAGGCAGCATTCTTAACCCCTATGCTATCTCTTCAGTTCCTTATTCAGATGGAAAATCTCTCGGGCTAGTAGCCAGCATTGTTCGCCCCGCCCGTTGCCCCAGGCTGTTACCTAGGATCAGCACAGCTTAGCTCAGCCAAGCGGAACAGAAGCCACTCCAGCCTCAGAGCCCCTCACAGTTTCAGGCACATTGCAAGCCTTCTGACCTGGCAGCTTGTGGCACCTCTCTCATTCTCAGTACTGCTTTGACACCCTCCAGGCCAGGCACCGACTGAGCCTGCGCAATATGCCTCCCACCATAGCCACAGAGCAAAGCTCCGCTCCAGCCGCCCTCCAGCCCCAGCTGCACCCACTCCGAGCCCAAACCGGTGCACGGAGCAAAGCTGAACTCAGAGAAGCAGGCTTGAAAGGACCTCATTTAATCTTTAAGGGAATTTGGGCGTCGTTTAGTCTCTTTGGCTGCTTCCTGCTGTTATTGGGCCGCTGAATTTTAGGGGTATACATTACAACATTTCAGGAGGTCTCGGTGATTCAAACCACGTAAATCCCAAGTACACCCTTAGGCTCTCCCCCTCCGTGGAGACGAAAACAGAACCTCCCTCCCAAAACACCACATCCTCAGCAGTCTCCAAGTTCAAATATCCCTCTCCCATCCAGTACACAAAAGACAACATGAACAACACAACATAAAGCTTTTGACCCTGCAAATCAGCCTTCTCCCCCATCTCCACTCTCCCAAAAATCACCGGGAGGTCCTTTTTAACTTATTTTTTTTTTCTCTGTCTCCCCCATTCTTTACCGGGGGGTCCTTTTTAACTTATCTGGGTGCGCGCACAACCTCCCACTGCTGCTCAGTTTCTGATATGCTCTCTGGACTTTAGAACGTACCTCTCTGAGCACGCATGCCTACAGTTCTGAATCCTCCTTGTGTCCAAGGGGTCTCCGGTGGTGCAAAGTTCTTCTTTTTCCCGGGTATCAGCACCAGATGTCCCGCGCTACCGTCTCGCCAGCAAGAACCACGCGGTACACATAGGATCCTTCTGCAGTAAAGCTTTAATGCCCCTTGGGAGAGCGGGCATCAGCCAACATGGCGGAGACCCAGATAAGATGGAACCCATCCCTTATAAAGGAAACAGACCAGGCTCTGGACGTGTCATTCTTGGATTGGTCAACGGCTCCCAGTCCCAGGTGAAACCTTGGGAGTAGTGGAAAATACCAACACATGTGAGCTTTCTAGCTCACCTGGCGGTGCAGCGCCATCTATGGTGGAGAGTGTGGTTGCGGCCCTCTACAAGTTTCAGGTCACTTCTCACTTCCACCAATGAAACAAAAAATACTATTTGTCTTTGTGAGGTTGATTTATTTCACAAGAAGTGATTATCTTCAATTCCATATTTTTTCCTATAAATCATATAACTTATGAGACTTTTATGCCTGATGCATAGACACATCAAACTTTTCTTTGTCCATTCATTGCTGGGTGCACACCCAGACGGATCCCATGAATTGACTATTGTTACCAGTCTTGCAGCAAACACAATTGTGTGGGTATCTCTATAGTAACCTGAATTGTATTCTTTGGAGATATTTATACAGAAACGTAGTAGTTGGATCATATTAAAGTTCTACATTTATTTTTTGTGAGCATTCATGCTGACTTTCCAAGTGGCTGAACTGTTCCATAATGGCTCCTTACTACAACCCCTGCAATAAGTTTGGAGTTGTTGATTCTGTTCTTTATGGAGGTCATTCTCACTAGGAGAGGATGCAATTTTTATTTCTGCTTCACCAGTGGCTAAGTATTTTGAGCGCATTTCAACTACTTACTTCATTTAGACTTCATTGTTTAAGAAATGTCTGCATTTCAGTGACCGTTACTGATTGGACTGGGGAATGTGTGTTTTTCTGCTACTCAACTTTTGAATTTTTTATATATCTTAGATACTAATCCTTTGTCAGATTAATTTTTGGCCGAGACTTTCTCCCATTCGGTAGGCCATATCTTTACTCTAAGTAAGCCTTTTATTTTGATCCAATTCCATTAATCAAAACTTGATTTTGTTCCCTGAGCTATTTAGAGTCTTCTAGAGGAAGTTATTTTCTATGTGCAGAGTGGAGGTGTTTGTGAGAACCCACGGTCCTCACCTTTAGTAAAAAGACTGGAGACTGGAGAGTTGAAGTGAAGCACTTTCGTTTACAGTGCTGCAAAGCTAGGCATCAGGCTGGGATGGCAGACTTCTCATTCAGTGCAGGGAAGAATAGATAAAAACTGGACCCGCAACTCTATCCCTCCCTTTTAGATAATCAGGAAGATATACCATCTAGATCTTAAGTTTTCTCAACAAAAAAAAAACATGTGTGAGGTCATCTCTATATTTTACATAGTTTATTTTAAACTTAACATAGACATAACCCTGCACCAGTACTTTTCTGCTCTGAACTTCTACTTTGGGTATGGGAAAGGATTTTAGTGGACAACTACTAAGGCTTGATGCTGCTTTTTTTATATATATAGTTCTTATATTTTATGCTTTCTTTTTTATTTACTTTTGAAATTTTAATTTAATTACATTTTTCCATTCCCTTTTCACCCTCCAAACCCTTTTTTTTATCCTTTTCTGCTCTCCTTCATGTTCAGGGCCTCTTTTTCATTAACTGTTATTGTAGTTATATAATATATTTAGAAATATATGTATTTCTAAATATAACCTTCCATTACATATAATGTTACTTTATGTATCCTTTCATGATTGATTGACACTGGACAACCAACTGATGTGCTCCTCTGGGGAGGACCACCCCTCACACTCCCAGAGTTATTCAGTTTCCTATAGTTTTCTGTGTAGGGTTGGAACCTTGTGGACTTTTCCACTTCCAGTTTAGTTTGTTCATTGGTTGTCATCTTTGCTCTGCTCACACTTGGGCAGGCATATTGGTGAGACTTTATGAACAGAACTTTTGATGTTTCTAGGAGATACAATCTTACAGTAAATACACTGATCCTCTGGCTCCTACAATATTTCTGGTCGCTCTTCCATAACGTACCTTGAGCCATAGGTGTGGGAGATGTATCTTTGTAGATGTATCCACGGGGATTTTGTCCCATAATGCTATATGTTGACTGGCTGTGATTTTTTCCCATCTGTTACAAAGAGAAATTTCCTTAATGAGGGGTGATGACTACACTTATCTGTGGTTGTAAGGACTAATGTTTATAGATTGTTGTTAGTGATTATTCTGGTTTAGCAAATTAGTAGCTGGAGATTCTCTCCCAATAACCATTAAATAGCTAGCTAGATTTCTAGTACCAGACATGGCACACTTCTTGTTGAGAGGTCTTAAATCCCATTAGAGGCATGTGTACCACTATTTTTTACAAATGCAATGAAACATTTTATAACTCATTAATTTTTACAATTATTTTATAGTAAGGCATGACAGATTACATTTTTTCATTGATATAGCTACAACAACGGTTCTTGATTAATGGCAACTAATAATGGCAGCTTTTTAAAATATAGAAGTTGGGTCACATTTTTCAAATATGTTGACACATTTTATTTTAAATTACAAAAGACCTTCCTCTTTTCAGAAATATTTGCCTCTTCCTAAGAAGAAGCATTGGTGCTTGTGAGAACCAAAATGCATTCTTCTGATGTAAACACTGAGTAGTTTCAACACAACTGAACTCCTGGAATTAAAAACAAAACAATTCTTAGAATATTTTTTCTAGTTACTTGAAAAAAAATGCAGGTGATGGACAAGTTAGCCCAACTCTCTTCTTCTCCTATTGTTCCCCTTCTATTTTCTTTATCACCACCTCACAGCTGGTGGACCAGTTGGCCAACTCTCTTCTTCTCCCACTGCACTCCTTCCATTTTCCGTCATTGCTGCCTCCAGAGAAAACAATGTATGAAGTTAGTTCCTGAAAAAAACTTTCAAGTTACCAGATGTCACACAATTTATAATCAATGGATTTCTAAGGAGACCACATCAGTTTGTCATGACAAGACTTCAGCCTGCCTGTCATGTCAAGAAAGTTTGGAGAAGATTCAGATTTTTGTAGAAGCTGTGAGCACTGTGATAGCTCGGGCTGGAGCATGGTATTTGCAGAAGGAACGAAGCTCATAGTAATCCCTCCAGGTAAGTGACTTTTTCCTGCTTCATTCCAGTGATGAAAAGTATATATATGATTGTAGAGAATACCAAAATTTATGGTGAGCTACTGTACCTGACTGCAATGCTCTTCATTCAAGTCATTTTTCAGGATAGATTACTGAATATGACAGCAAAACTACTTTGTAAATTGTTTCTTCTTTCGACTCAGAAGACACTGAAACTATATTTAGAATAGTAGCATATACAAAGAGTAAGTAAGTGAAAGTCATTCCGAGGATCATGTGCATAGATGATTGGTGTAAACTATTGCTTCGGGATAGTGTTGTAAAAGGTCTATTAGGTAAATCCTCAGAATGAAGGTTTTCTGATGGCTACAACTATTGTGCTCCATTCTCCAGACAAACTGGAGATCATTATTACTGATTTTGATCATAATTCACAGTAAATTACTATAGAACATGATTGAATACCCTTCTTATTTGTCTGACTTCATGTTGGGTAACAATTTATGTTACTCTGATTCTTAAAATATTACCTGGAACTTTCCGTTAGAATTTTTAGTTTATACAAACTGTTTCTGCCCAGTGTCTATGGAAATGGCTTTTCACAGTTTTACATCTTTATGTGATCATTATTTCCCTCAAGGAAGCTTAGGATAGTTTTATAGTCCAAATATTTTCCTGTGTCTTTACTTTTTTATAAGAACACATTTGTTGTCTAATTATTAGTGGTTATGCCCAAGCATGCGATTATTGCTTTTTTCTTTGAACATTTATCTCTGAAAAAAAAGTCTCAATTAACTCGAAATTTCATTCTAGACTGAGAACTGATTTATAAATGACAAACCTTTAAGGGAGGAAATACATAAACAGCTGGAAAATAGTAAAAATAAAAATAAAATAAAACTTCTCAACCTATGGGAACAAGACACAAGTTGGAAGGCAGAGTTAGATTCCTGGTTAGATATGGGTCGAATCACTTTGGAGTCCCTTCATACTTGGTAGAAGAAAAAAATGTGTTGTCACATATTCGGAATGAATATGTTTTCAGAGTAATTGAAGGAAGGCAAGGCATGGCCATAGTGAAGTGGAGGTGATGATGTTTAGAAAGAAGAGGGCTGTGAGCAGGATTTCCTAAAGCACTTTCCAGGAGATTGCAATTAGAAATGTTGATACTGAAGAACACTTGTGCAAGCATCCTAACAATGCTTGCAGATATCCAGACATCCGTAAAACATTCGTATATTGTGATAAAAGTCATTATTAAAGCGTTTGACACTGGTATGGGGTTTATTATTACAGACAAGTCTATGATAGACTCAATAAAGAGTAGCCTTCATTTTTCTCTAGGTCTAGTGCGCTGTGAACAAGCCTAGGCTTTGAACTCAGTAATGGAACTATACCTTCTCCACTTATTCCTAAAGAACATGGAGACTTTGCACTCAGTTCCTAATAAGTAAGACAGATGAGGGTAGGAGAACAGCAAGATTATGTAAGAACCAAAGGTAATAATGTTAATAAAGCATGTGCGACATTGTCCAATTCTTAACAGGCACGAAAATTGTGGAGAGGACTGTCTCCACCATGAAGAAGCCATTGTTGTCGCTTTAGCCAATAACATTTATTATACAGGAAAGCTTTCTGGGAGATGCTGCTGATCTCCTAACTGCTAAGGTAGAAGATCATCTTCATATTTACTTACATAGACACAAAGTTTCCATCTGGAGGCATCTGTTTTTCTTTAGCAGCTATTTTTTTATCATTTGAAAAAAATCATGGCTCTAAATATTTTTAAAGGATTTTTATTGATAACTGTGTGGTGGTGCACACCTTTAATCTCAGCCCTTGTGAGGCAGAAGCAGGAGGATATTCATTAGTTTGAGGCCAGCCTGGTCTACAGAGTGAGTTCCAGGACAGGCTCCATAGCTACACAGAGAAACCCTGTCTTGAGAAACCAAAAAAGCAGGGGGCGGGTTACTGTCAATTATTAAAATTTTTAGTAGGGGTTGTAGAATGGTGTTATGTTTCTAATTTTACAAAGTATTTTTTTACATTTTTGAGAATTTTATCATGAGTACTGTATTTACACCATTTCCACCTCGCCCTTTTCCTCTTTGAACGCCCCCAACTCCCTGTCAAATTCATGACTCTTCTGTAACTGTGTTGTTATATAAATATATATGCTCATAATATGTATATATCAATACAACCTGCTAAGTCCATCTAGTGTTACTCAATGTGCATGTGTTCATGTCTAGCTGCTTGGGATTACATGACCTATCAGGTACCCATCCCTACAGAGCACTGATTCTCCATCTCTTAGCATCTATTCATTGTGTGGAGCTCTCCTCATCTTGAAGTTTGAACATGGGAGATTTTCCTCACCAATGCTTGAATGTCAAATGGTGTTGTCATTGTGCACATCTTGTTTAGGTGACCATGCTGTTAGGATTTCAAAGGTACAAGTTCCTACCATATGTAGAAGGCACTATCTGAACAGATGTCCCAGGCCTATGGCTCTTCGATTTTTCTACTTCTTTTCCACGTAGATCCCTCAGCCCTGAGGGAAAGGATGGATGACAACATCCCCACTTAGGACTGAGTGCTCCAAAGTCTCCCATTCTTTGAACATTGTCCAGTTGTGAGTCTCTATGTTAGTAGATATATACTTCAAAAAGAAGCTTCTCTGATAAGGATTGAGCAATGTACAGGACTAGGGGTATAGCATTAGGAGTTGTTTTATTGCTATGTTCCATTAGCAGAATTATAGGATTATATTTTTCCATAGGCTTGCGACCTATCTAGTCTCAGGTGTTTGGCATCCTTAGCAGTATCAGATATGGGTTACATCTCATGGAGTGGGCCTTAAATCCAATCAAAAAATGCTTGATTAATCAGTAAAATGTTCTATAACTTCACCATTATATCTTACAAGCAGGTTACTACTGTAGGTAGCAAGCTTTCTCCTTTAGTATCATACAGAGTAACTTCTAGCACCATAAATACTAGTCAGAAGGGGTAAAGTTTCTATTTGGGCTCAGTTTCTCCATGTTTAATGATACAACTGAATAGCATCTAATGACACAAGTAAGTAGTGTCTTCAGTTATAGGGCCTTAACATCAGACCATAGAGAGTAAGCAATAGCTTTGGGAATATCCTGTGATGTTTGAGGTGGGGACTCCTTTGGTCAAAGACTTCATAAGGTATAACTCATTCCTGGCACTGAATGTTTTGCTTGGTGGCATAAAACTTCTTGTTGGGACATTCTCTCTCCCATTTTATGGTAATTCTATTTAAAGTCCTTTCATATGAGTATATATTTTAGGAAGCTTCTACAGATGTAGATTTCCTTGTGAATTTTCAAAGGCCCCTTATTTAGTTGTTCATACTCATACTCTGTTTTTCCATCCTCCTCCCTATTTAATCTTATTCTAGTTTCTTCTTTATCTCTTGATAGCATTATATTCTTTTTCTCCATCCTTGGAAGATCCCCTCTGTCCCTGGTCCCTTACTAGGAAGTTATCCACTGAGATTATTCAGATTGAAGCACCTAAATTCAACACAGTAGGAATAATTTGGAGGTGCAGCTACAGCTACATGCTCAACTCCAAAACTAGGAGGGGTTCTCATGTGAGGGCGAGATGCTTTCTACAAGTAGAGAGCAATTAGGAGATCCCTGAGAACTTCAAACTGAGAAAGGGATCTGCAACCTCAGATAGCAATTCTACTCGATCCGATTGCAATTACACATGAAGGATGTTTCCATTGCATAAGGGACGGCATACAGCTACAAAGAAATGTTGAAAGTTACCTCCTGACATCATTCCACTGAGCTCTAAGGAAAGCAGGGCACATTATAGTCAGCTAAGTGGACAGTGGGTTGCACTAAATTGCCAAAGAACAAAGTCACAAAGGATGGGGAAGGGAAGCGTGTTAGGAATGACAAGAAACCTTCATCTGTAAAATGACCATAGAAGCAATTTGTCTTCTCACCCTGCCATCCATCCACCCAGATGAATGGATATTTCACCACGAGCAAACAGGTAGTGTAAAGACAGAAGTTGCTCCTAACCATTCAATATTTTTTTCCTTATTTATTTATTTAAAGAATTTCCACTTCCTCCACTCCTCCCAATACCCTCCCGCTCCCCCCCACTCCCTCTCCTCCTCCCTCATCATTCCCAAGAGCAGTCAGGGTTTCCTGCCCTGTGGGAAATCCAAGTTCCTCCCCCCTCCCTCCAGGTCCAAGAAGGTGAGCATCCAAACAGGCCAGGATCCCAAAAAGCCAGTCCACGCAGACGAAACAAGACCCAGTGCCATTGTCAATGGCTTCTCAGTCATGATATGTAATAATTATTTTGAGTGACTGGATTTAGTGGTACGCTAGCACTTGAGAGGCAGAGGCAGGAGGACCAGGAGCAGGAGGAGGCCATCCATAGGTACACAGCAAGTCTGATGCTACAGTGGGCTCCCTGAGACTCTGTCTCAGGAATAACAACTACTATCCTCATGATTATTACCTTTATTGATTTTCCATTTTATCTTACAGACAAAAGGTTTGATGCAGACATTTCCCCCAAGCCTACCATTTTCCTTCCTTCTGTTGCTGAAACAAACCTCCATAAGGCTGGGACATACCTTTGTCTCCTTGAGAAATTTTTCCCTGATGTTATAAGGGTGTACTGGAAAGAAAAGGATGGTGATAAGATCCTGGAGTCCCGGGAAGGGAACACACTGAAGACTAACGACACATACATGAAGTTTAGCTGGCTTACCGTGACTGAAGAGTCAATGCGAAAAGAGCACAGATGCATTGTCAAACACGAAAACAATAAGAAAGGAGTTGATCAAGAGATTTCCTTTCCTCCAATAGAGAAAGGTATGTGCACGTATCCTTTAAAATATAGCTTTCTAGAAAATGTGTTTGAAAATGTCCAGGTTTTTATCATGTATTAATACAAATTAATATAAGACCTTTAACAGGGCTACTGCAAGCATTTTATCTTGTACTTTACCAAAATACTAAGATGGCAGAGGCTTTGGTTTAAGTTTTTCTAAATCTATCATCATTATCCAAAATATCCAGATTTGATTCTTTCTTTCTTTTTTCCTTTTTTCTTTCTTTCTTCCTCCTTTCCTTTCTTTCTCATTTTCTTTCCTTCCTTTATTTTCTTTCTTTCCTTTCTTTCTAGAAATTGTTAATTTTATTTTTTAAAAATGACACAATAAACAACTACGTACATGATAAATGCTAAAATGGAGGTTCCATTTTGATGAATTAATTAGGAATATTCTGCCAACCAAGAAAAATCATTTACTTTAATCTTATTGTGTACAAAGTTCAAGTCTGAAACACTGATGCCTTAGAAACTGGTGCCTTAGCTAATGACATATTCAAATGAAATAGCCAAAGCTTATTACTAAAAAGGGAGTGAACGTAGCAGTCTTGAAATTTTCAGATTGTCATATAGGATATCATAATTAAAAATCTTGTAAGGATAGTGCTTGCAAGCAAGCTTCATAATTAATGCATCTCCTGACATTCCAATGCATTTCAGAAAGCCCAAATAGGCCTGAATAGGGATGTGGATGGGTAGACAAGGATTAGCACGTCAGTGTCCCAACATGGAGGGGGCTATACAGTGATTAATGCATACTCTTTCCAACTTACTCAGAATAATTCAGATGCAAAGTCCCAAAGGATCCCTTAATTCAGTCGGTACAAAGCTGCACGTCCAGTCAGAGGGTTGAATGTGCAGGGGGCCTAGTGGCGGTCTTGCAATTCATTGTCACAACTGCATAGTCTCAAGCCCCAGGGACCTTCTGAACTTATGAGGAATGAGAACATTTAGAACCTGTGAGCCTCTTTCTGGTCACTGTCTGGGTTTCTTCTCGGGGATTCCTTTGTCACTAAAATGATCAATGAACTTCGAGCAGTTGTTTGGGGAAATTGATTTGGAAGATCATGGCTGTTTTTCTTTGAAGACCGTTTTAGACAGCTTGCTATGTGTTTTAGGGTAAAAAAGGAAAAAATATTCTTTTTGATTTTCTGCTTCTCTGTACACAGAAACAAACCAAATGAAAGACATGTACTGAGTAATATATAATGAGACTCATTTCTATAATGTATATATATATAATTATATGATTATGGGGCTCATATTTTAATGCACTTTTGTCTATATGAGGACAGCTATGTATTCATTTATATGTAGATATATGCATATTCACAAACACAAAAAGAACTGACAAATAATGCGCATATTAACAAATTCTTACTGTTATTTCTTGTAGTTGCCGTGAGTGCTGAGCCTACACCTTGCTGGCATGAAAATGGTAGGTTTTTAGTATGCTTGACTAACATTACAGCACTCTTCCTTTTGACTATAACAATGTTCAAACTGCCTTGGATTAATTTAGAAATGTCTAAATGTCTGGGTGTTACAGAATAGACAGTGATATTTACAGCTACTGTGTCACTACGGGCATCACAGCCACACAGGGAACAACTAATTCAAATAAAGTAAAGTGTACTTTAATGACAGGTACAGTGATGTACCCTAATCTGTTTTAACAAAGGAATTCACTGACTCATATGTCTATTATTTTTAACCACCAAAGAGAGCAGGATGAAAGTTAAGTCTAAGTCGTTACAGTCATCTAGTTACTCACTAGTGACTGCCATGGATGGGTTTAGATGAACTGACTTCCAAGTTCAAGGGCCCTCTTAGTGGTTCTTTTGAGAATGGTCAGTGTTGTTTCAGGTTTGGGTGAGGAGAGCTGTTACTCCATGCAGGTCCTCAGCAATCAATGCCCACTACTCCCTCCTCAGTAGCCTGTGCTATGCTATCTAACAAGCAGGTGGGACTAATGAAAAAACTCTTTTAGCTGTGCTGCAGCTCCAGCTCACGAGCACCTCTGCCTACTACACCTACCTTCTCCTCCTGCTCAAGAGTGCCATCCACCTGGCCATGGTCAGCTTCTCTCTGGCTAGAAGAAGAGCTGCCTGTGGCAATGAGAAGAGGTCCTAGGAAGTGAATGGTGGCGCGACAAGTCAGCTCCTGTTCATCCTTCCTGTGAAATCGTGCCTTACGGGGCTCAGCTGGATTTTCTTCCTAACTTTGACCTCTGTAAAATCACATGCATATCATTCTGTCGTTGCTTAAAAGTTTTCAGACTTTCATAAGCGATTCGAGCAACTTCTCTCTCTAACCGAGGCTACCTCCCTTCTGATTCTATCCTCTTCAGTAGTTCCCTCCCCCAGGAGCCTGGAGCATCACAGTTTGAGTCCACGTAGCTTGCAGCTTCTACCCGCAGTCCTTGTTGCCCTTGAGCCAGCTAACTCCCTGGAAGCCTCCTCGCTAGACACCCCGAAGAGCCTTCTTTACTGCTTGAATTCTTGTACTTCATATTAGAGACAATAAATTCTTTTGAAAATCAGAAGTCTGCTTTTTGTCAGTCCTTACTTTCATTTAATAACCGTGAAGGACAGAGTATGAGAGCTGACCCACGGCATTCAGTGACGGTTGGTAACAAGAGGCCAAAATCACGTTCCTAATCTTGGTCTACAGTCCGTGGTTATGACATTTCTTGTGACAGTGGGAGTAGCTGCAGCCACAGTCCATTGAGAGAGCCATGTTACTGCTCTTAAAGGCCAGCACATTTTGGGTATTTGGTTTTAGGCTTTCTCCTGGCCATGTGCAGATATCTAACATGACTCAAACTGGACATGCTCAGCTCTGTGTCTGTTTTCATAACAGCATGTTTGCTGACCCTCGGGCTGCTCCCTGGAAGCTACCAGAACTCCAGAGAGGAAAAGGGATGGAAGAAAGTGACCACAGACACCGAACTCCAGTAACACAGCTTCCCTCTGTGAAATGAAGTCAGAATATTCTATCCACTAGGGCTTTACATGTTAAATGAATTAGTAATAGAAACTACAAGCAAGCTCTTGAGAGCCCTAACATAGGCCCTTGACCTTACCTTAGAGAGTGGATACCACACTCACACAAAAAGGCACCAAAATTATATCTAATTTTCTTCATGGGGAGGGTGACAGAGTGCAATAGGATCATGTCTTGTACTACACAAGCAACCCCTGATCCTCTCACAGTCGTTTGAAATAGATACAATCATGGACCACAATTTACAGATTGCAGAGCTAAGCTCACTACTAAAGGTCACTGTTTTGAATCAGTACTTGTAACGTAAAGCCAAATTTCTCTGATTCCGTGTGTGTGTGTGTGTGTGTGTGTGTGTGTGAGAGAGAGAGAGAGAGAGAGAGAGAGAGAGAGAGAGAAGAAGAGAGAGAGATACAGATACAGAGAGGAGTAGAGAGAGAACATCAATGTACTACATATCCTATATTTTTCAGTAATATTAAATCAAGACAACCTACAAACTATAAAAACACCCACTGCTTCCCTAATAAAGTTAGTGATAATTTCCTGAAAGACTTGTGAGTTCATCTCTTTATTCCTCATGATTACTCCAGGTTACTGGCTTGTTCTTTCTCACTCATCTTTCCTCTTGCTAGAAGTGCAATCTATTCCAGAATTGTCATAATTGCGCCACTTTCTGGAAGCCAGAACAGCTATTCTGCTTTCCACTGAGCATTTGTCTTCGGTTCGACACTGCTCTTCTAGGGAGGGCACTAATATAGTGGACTGTGAGCCTCGGGCACGGCAGATCCCTTAATGGTGTTACGTGGATATGAGCAGCATCTTGAGACTCAAGTTCATCCACAGCCAGAATCACTTGTAGAAGGTTCTGGGGATATAGGTAGTTTCTGATGCAGGAATGAGGTTATGCAACTTTCTTGGTCCATGACTTTTATCACAACACAACAGCCTCCAGCTGATTTTGTGGGAGAACCCTGAACCAGGAGCCACAGTTCAGATAGAATCCTGGCTACTTTGTCTGACTGTTCTTAGCTCTATCAACTTCTCTTCTGAGTTATAAAATTTGTGTATATTTATAGAATCCTATGCAATGTTTGAGTCCATCCACATATTGAATGTTCTTTAAATCGAGGTAAGTACAGGTTTTTCCTAAACCATCCATTCATCATTTCTATGCCATGAGAATATTCAAACATCTTTTCCTTTGCTTTTTAGATACACATCATATTATTATTTTCTAGTGGTTTAGTCCCACACTAAAATTTACACATTCTTAGAATAATGCTTAAAATTAAGTAATTTCAGATATGCATGCAAAGTTACAAACAGTTGACATCTGAATGAATTAATGGTAGGAATCACAGATGTTGTGGTATTTTCCAGGCAAAGGACTAAGTATGTACCATCTCAGGCAAGCAAACACACAGTAAGATGACAGAATGTCAGTGTTTTGTACAGGGAAGCGGTGGCAGGGAGCACTGTGGGGGTCTCCTAAAGTTCCACAGACAACGGCAGGACTCGGGCCTCAGATGGTTGGTGTGAGCGGTTCTGCTCTTCTCCAGCACAGCGTTTCTTTGTAGGATGGAAGCAGGCTAGCCTTCAAGAAAAACCTTTCACTTTTAGTCTCAGAGTGGATGAAGGGAATAACCTCCTTATCTACACACATGTCCTCATGTTAGAGCTCATATTTTTAACTTAAAATGAAAAGACTTTAGGTTTGTCCAATCAACTTCAGTGTCTGTGAAACCAAGCAGAGGTTCCCATGGCAGAGGCCATGGGGGTGGGGGTCAAGAAGAGTCAGGCTTAAGAAGATGAAATTTAATTTAGGCCTCCTCCCTAGTATTCCTGAACTGACTAGACTTCTTTAGATCCAGTGTCTAGCCTCTAAACAGAGGCACTATGACTGCCCAAGGAAACAGATGTCATGACCGGAAACTGACAATTAGCAACAGCCTTGTGGAACTGGCATCACTGGCCAGTAGCACCAGGCCTGTCTCAAGTGGTGTTGTTAACCCCCTTAGCCTCTTCTGCTGGAGTCCACCTGGGCAGCCCAGAGACTCAGCAGTGTACAGAGAGAATGCTGGGGCAGGGGGATGGTGAGAGAATGTCCTGTGGCTAATAGCAGTTTTACTTTCTCAAGCTTCTTTTGTTTACCTACTCTGTCATATGGTTGCTTCCTGGAAAATGGTTAAACACAAACCACCAGTGTTTGGGGCGGCACAAGGTGTGGCTAAGGTGTTAGAAGACAAAATAGGAGCAGTTAAACCACAGCCAGCTCTGCTTGCTTTCAAAAGACCACAGCTATTGGAGAGAAAACCTCCAACTCCACGCACCGGAAGTGGACCAGAAACTCAGTCTCTGTGCTGATGGATGCTGGGCTTGTGCCTGGAGCTCAGTTACAGTGGTGATTGGAATCTGTTCCAAGAACTGTGTAGACACTGTACCCAACAGAAACAGGAGAGATGTAGCCCAAGATAATTTTAATACCCCATCAAGGGTCTGTTCTTTTCTCCAGTGCTTAATTTAAGGTCCTATGGAGGCTGGGCGGTGGTGGCACACACCTTTAACCCCAGCAGTCCAGAGGCAGAAGCAGGTGGATCTTTGTGAATTCAAGTCCAGCCTGGTGTACAAGAACTAGTTCCAGGACAGGTTCCAAAGCTACAGAGAAACCCTGACTCGAAAAACAAAAAACAAAACAAACAAGCAAACAAACAAACCAAAAAAAAAAATTCCAAGGAGATTTTTGTTTTGTTTTCTTAGTGGAAAAAAAAGGAATAAGGCTGTGTCCTGAGCCAAGTAGCATAGGAAAATGAAGATGTGGCACCAGTGTACTCTAGGAAGTCACAGAAGGCCCTGAGCGCAGTTGTGTTAAAATCATCCACTGTATAGTAGTTCCACCTCGGGAGAGAAACGTTATCAGAGACACCTGAGAAAGGCTTAGTTAAAGATATTAACACGAGTAATGGATAAATGAGAGAGTAGACTCAGAAAGGAGATGTTCAGAAATATGAATACAGAAAGAAAATATCTCCAACCCTGGCCACACAGGCTGGGCACAGATTGGGCAGCAGGTACTTGGCCTCATTTGTCCAGTCCCAGGAAAGGAGACGTATAGATGGAACATTCGAGGCTAGCTTTCGCAGTCTGATGTCATGGAACATTTGAATCAGATACTGCCATAATCTTGTGTGTAATCAGAGCCACTTTGTAAACCAGGCTGGGTGCCCCCTAGGAGGATTAGTTTCATCAGTTGGCTCTACACAGCTGTCTAGAGAGCAAGCACTCATCTCAGCTTAAGCTGATAAGATGGATGACGCCTTGCTTAACTGTAGCTGTGGGCTCTGAGTATGTGCAGCTCTATTACTGAGATAGAAAATTGTCAAGAAGTCAGCTCCTCCTAGTTCCTAAGGTTCTGTACCAAGACAAACACTGGGAAGTTCCCTCCACTCTTTTCACCATGAGTAGCCCTTGGCTGCACTCCAGCCTCCCAGTGGGACTGCTGATGTGGGCTCACACTCACAACAGCACAGACGCAGGACCGAATGTCCTCCCACACCTACATCCTCACTGCTCTTCAATTGTCCTTTCTAGAAAGACAAGGCTAACGGTGGAGACTCACAGGCTGCTTCTCTGGGAGGCAAAGCGTGAATTCCACATTTGGAAAAATAGTTCATTATGGATATTATGTTGAATAAAGTTCCCCTTTATTCAAACTAGTTAGACATTCAGAAAATTAATAGTAGTGCTTCCCTGGAACACTTATTTTCCAAATAACAGGACTTAGAAAACTACTGGACACATCACATGGTTTTACATTAAAAACAATACAATGTTAACATTTTACATTATTCTCAATCTCTGTTCATCCCCATTTCATATTTCTTTTTATTTTGCATTTAGTATTTTTATTGTTTTTCTTGTGCTATACATTTTTATCTGCTCCCCTTCCTTCCTCCCCTCTTCCTTTCTACCTTCTTCTGTGACCCGCATGCTCCCAATTTACTTAGGAATTGTTGTATTTTTCTCCTTCCTATTTAGATCCATATATGTCTCTTTTAGGGTCTTTTTTGTTGTCTAAGTTCTCTGGGGTTGTGAATTGTAGGTTGATTTTTCTTTGGTTTATGTCTAAAAGTCACTTATGAGTGAGTACATGTGATATTTGTCTTTCTGGGTCTGAATTATCTCACTCAATATGTTTTCTAGATTCATCCATTTGCCTGAAAATTTCAAGATGTCATTATTTTTACCTTCAAGTAGTACTGCATTGTTTAAACGTACCACATTTTCTTTATCCATTCTTTTGTTGAGAGGTATCTAGGTTGTTTCCAGGTTCTGGCTATTGCAAAAAAAGGTTCTATGAACATAGATGAGCACATGTCCTTGTGGTATGAATGAGCTTCCTTTGGGTATATACCCAAAAGTGGTATTTCTGGGTCTTGAGGAAGAAGGTTTTCTAATTTTCTGAGAAATTGCCATAATGATTTCCAAAGTCACTGTGCAAGTTTGCACTCCCCCAGCAATGGAGGAGTGGTCCCCTTTCCC